GACCCGACGAGCTGGTGCCGAATGCGCGGGGTTGACGCAGGCCACGACGGACTGTGGGCGCGGAGCGAACCTGACGGGCGCAGGAGGACTAAGCGGGGTGACGGCTTCATGTGTTGGTGCGCGACGACGGACTGTCGGCATCGGAGAGACAAAGAGAGGAAAGAGAGTTGAGGTTGAGGATGGACATGGATTTGCGCTTTTCTTTTTGGCCCTTTTTTTATCTATGTATATAAATTTTGGTGTCGATTACGGGGAACTCGCCCTTGTCTTTGCGGCCATATACTCGTCCTGTTGTTCGATTTGATTCTTTTTTTTGTATCGATGTTTTCTCCTTTTTCGTTCCTTCTCCGGAATCCTCTTTTGCAAATGATGTATGGATGGTTAGCCCACCTTCGCATTTTCATTTTTGATCGTTTTCCTTCGAACCCTCGTACATGATGAATGAGAATGGGGATTGCATGTTGGCGTGATCAGCAGAGTGTGTTGGCTTGTCGAATCTTACGGGTAGTCTGGAGCGCACCATCCGACGTGCCATATGGGCACCTGCAAGTGCGATCCGAATGGAGCGCGGCTTACATGTGTCCATACCACTCGGACTCGCCAATCGCGTCTTGGCTAACGCTCGTAGTCAGCCCCTCACTGAAGTAGGAGTCGACGTCAACCGGGATCGGGTTACCCATCACGCGTAAGTGCGCGTAAGTGCGACTTGTTCACATCTCTCTTAGGCACTTACGAGCGGTGGCCTCCCCGATTAACTTATCCCCTAAGGCGTGAGTGATGAAATAATGACGAGCTCGCGGAGTTCCGACGTATCTTGGAATTCCGAGGAAATATGGGAAGAAGAGCAACTCCGATTACGGGGAAATTTGAGAAACCCCGTGTTCCCCTGCCTCACAGAAAACGATAGATTCTGCGCTAGGGAATTTCATCTCGCCGTACGAAGCGACCCACGGATACCCGACTACCCAAACACGTACAACACGCAGTATTTCATAACCCCCGACTTCGTCCTTATCGCCACTAATTTCCCGCCATACCACCTCCTCCTCCCCTATCATCAGCTTACAGTAGTACCGTGGAATTCCATAGCGCCTTATTGGCCCTCCACCCCGCGCAGAAGTTGTAGGCGACGTGCCCATACCCGAACCCCCGGAGCCTTGACACCTAGGCATAGTTTCCACCAACCCACGCCACGTGGCGGACCCCGAAGGCGTGGGCCCCAAGGACCGCCTCGACAGVCTCCCCAGAACTGGCGATCACGTCAGGATCGGACAGCCCCGCACAACCAGCGTGCAAGCCCGCCGTAAATTTTCCCATTGCTCTATTGCATCTCTGCCCCTGAACTCGGCCACAGAAGATCCCAGTTCCGACCTGGGACTTCAACCCCCACTTTCCCAAAAATCCTTGGCACACCCCTGTTCGCACTTCCAGGCCCCCATCCCACTCCAATCAGGAAGTCGCGTCGGGCGTGAGGTTGGTATCAGAGCCCGACACGTGGCTAAGCGATAGGGTCTGTAGACTCAATATTGGCTAAGGCGAGGCGATCTGGCTCCACGTACGCGCCCTTCAGCTGGGGATACACGCCGACGTAGTCCTGTAGCTACACGAAGCCGAACGTCCGCCACAAGGCGAGCAGGCGCCATGGCTGCGGCCGCTGCTGCAGTAGCCGCTGCGGTGGTCAACCCCAACCAACAGCCTAACCCGCCTGCGCCGCCTGCATGAGCCTCTGCGGCTCCACCAGATCTTTATTTATTTGATCCAGCCCACCATCTCGCTGAAGCATGGTTAGCCACGCTCCGAGCGCAGCGGTATACGAACGATGAAGCTCAGATCAACATCCCCGCGCGGATGGGGGGGGACGCCCATCATTGGTATAACACTTATGTATGGGTGGATCTTCCCACATTCGAGCGGGATTTTATGAACCACTTCGATTATGTTCACCCCGAACAAGCATTCTATATGATCAAGGATCGAGTCCAGAAACCACTCGAATCCATTACCGAGTATCGAACAGATTTCATCGAATGTTTGTAAAGACTGAACGAGGTGAGCAGGTAGGTCGGGACCTGTTCATTGATGGACTACGTAACAGAACGATTCGGGGGAAGCTACGTAAAAACTTATCTCCCATTAACCACACGCTGCAACAAATTATGGACGTTGCCGAAGAAATGGAGCGGAAGTTCGCAGCTAGCTTCTTAGAAAATGAGGATTATGGTAGGGAAGGAGACTCGTCAAAACTTGTGAAAGCAAGGGCGGAACTGGCCGCACTGCAAAACAAATTCGAAAACATGGGATTCGTAGCCAGACCCGTTACGTATGTAGAACAGGTGACATCGAGGACCACACCATGTGGAGCGACTGTAAACAGGCAGATCCCGGTAATGGCGTCCCCAACCGTAACTCAGCCACCTCCACCGCCACCCACCACCGAGTCACCCGCAAGAACGAATGAGTCTATTGCTATCTTGGAGCTAACTAAAACATTGGTTAGTCTAATCCAAGAAAGCAAGAAGGAACAGCGAGAGTACAACGCCCGATTAGAAGCTATGATGCGGAATATGCGACCCATTGCGGTGCGAGCACCAATGCAGGGAGGCATGGCTGCTGCACAAGTTGCAGCGGGGCCAGACGGGACAGCGGCAAATGCCTGTTTTACATGTCATCAACCGGGACACTTGGCCCGAGATTGCCCCCATCGGGCCATGCAGCCTCGAGTCGGGGTCGCGCCTGCAGCTGCACCTCTCATAGCTAACGGCCGAGGACGTGTAGGAGCCGTGATGGATGATCAGGGGGGAAGTAATGGAATGATGATTTACAGTGAGGAAGCAGCCGAGCTTATCCCGCTGGAGCAGTATGTATCACTAAGATACCCGGGGCTGGGAATGATTGGGACGATTCGACCGGAACTAGAGTCCAGAGATGTCACCGAATGGCGGCCTTCGTCGAGCGAAATGGAGATGGGAGGCCCTACCTTTGTTACAGGGGAAATCGATGTCCTCGAGGTTACCCGAGCACTGGATCATCGAATCCCTCTCCCAATCGGCCACCTACTCCCCATTTCGGAACAGGCAAACGAACGTATGATGCAGCATTGCAAAGCGAACCGGAAGCGATTCGCCCTTACACGCGCAAAAGATCAGAAGGCGAAGGCGCCGACTTCGGAGGAAAAGGCGGACGTCGCCCCTGACCCCATCCGAGTCGGATTGATACAGAAAGATGACCACTTTCTTCGKATCAAGCCGATTCCGTGGAAGTCAGCCGAATGTGATATTGAAGTCTGGGGAGTGTCATATAGTGCGATCATAGATTCGGGAGCGGCTGTCTTAGCGATATCACTCCGAGTAGTCGAGAGAGCGGGTAGGAAGAATGATTTGATTACGCTAACCGAGAAGGACCAACTCTTATCGGCTGACGAGGAGAAGATCAAAACAGTAGGACGGATGACGAATGTCGCGTTCCGATTGGAAAAAGTGCACGCTTTAGGAGATGTCGTGGTGCTGGATGTGAATACGTATGACGTTTTTTTCGGGCTTCCTGCATTGGAGGCGCTGCGTGCTAATGTAGACTTCGAACGTCAATCCGTCATTCTCCGGAATACCGGTGGAAAGCCGTATGTAATACCCATGAGACTAACTCTTCGAACGTCGGTTAAGGTAGTACCCCGAATTTCTTCGGAAACAATGGGAGCGCTCCGCATGGTCTCCTGGAGTGCACCTATGGACGGAGGCCAATCATCGAACGACGCGGGGAGCGACGACGATGACGATCTAGTCGTTACACGGTTAGTACGGCAGCGGATTCACTACCCGCCGCCTCACACTATTGCGCATACCATGCATCTAACCGCACGGAATGCTCGTATGATGATCATGGGAGAACCCCTCGTACATATTTCGAGGCTGGTTGATTTCTTGGAACCCCTTCGGACCCTGTACGAAGGCGTATCTCCCTTTCTTCTTCGGTATAGTGACAAACGTTCCTTTTGTGATCTCACTGGCTTACCTCGATCCCTGCTTCAGCCCACAAAAGAGGTTCAGTTGTTGCGTTTGGGAGCCGAAGCAGGTTCTTTGGAACCCCCTAAGCGCATCGAGGCAAGATCTGATGAACTCGGGATCAAAATCTCGCCCAAAAGCGTGGCCTGGCGAGACATCTGCGACGGGATAACCCCCGAAGATCATACAGCGATCAGGGAGGAGGAAGCACAGATGGTGGCCACTGTGTTTTCTTGGAGATCGGATCACTCTTTTATATCTGCACCACCTGACACTACGCGGCGTATACACACGAAGCAGGTTAACGTTCGGATTTTGGATCAAATGTATGAATTGCATGTGCCCCAGTATGTACCTGATGAGATCCATCGGCTGATCGCTGATATTCTAATAGAATATCAAGGGGCGATTAGCATGTCCGATGCCGATATTGGGTTATCTGTGGTCGTTCATCATGAGATTCAGACCGGGAATCATTCCCTGATCCACTGCAAGCCGTATCGATACTCGTTGACAGAGCGCAAGACGGCCTTGCAGCGAATCAGGGAATTTGAGGCAAACGGATGGATTGAGCCTGCCACCGGTCCCTGGTCGTTCCCAGTTGTATTGGTTCCTAAAAAAAACGGGTCAGTCCGCATATGCATTGATTATCGAAAGCTAAATGATATCACGATTAAAGATGTGTATCCCCTTCCCCGGATTGATGATTTGCTTGATGCGATCGGGTGTGCTAACTACTTCAGCAAGTTCGACATTCGGCATGGGTTTCATCATATCTTGGTGAAGGAAGAAGATCGGCCCAAGACCGCCTTCGTTTTGTTTGAAGGTACGTGGCAGTGGGTTCGGTGCCCGATGGGAATGTGCAATGCGCCTGCCACATTTCAGAGGGCGATGAACGTGACTTTTCAGAATTTCGTCAAGAAGACACGGCTGACTCAGGGGATGATTAACTTCTGCGTTATTGTGTACATGGATGACATTCTGGTGTACTCGGACACGTTTCACGAACACGCGCAGCACATCGAATGGACGTTGGGTGCGTTGAGGGACGCAGGTTTCAAGATTGCACTGGAAAAGAGCGAGTTTTTCCTCCCGGAAATCTCGTTCTTGGGGTATGTGGTGACATGAGGAGGCCTGCGGCCGGACTCTCGAAAAGTCGCGGCGGTCAAAGAGGCCCCGGTTCCGACCTCACTGATGCAGGTTCGAGCCTTCTTGGGCCTGGCCTCGTATTACCGGCGGTTCATCAAGGGGTTCGCGGCTATAGCAAGGCCTCTAATGAACCTGCTGCGAAAAGAACAGCCCCTTCATTGGGATGATGAGTGCGACCAGGCCTTCGGGGCCCTGAAGGATGCTCTCGTCACGGCCCCGATTCTGATTCGACCGGACCCCTCTCGGCAGTTTATTCTCATCACCGACTGGCAGTCGGAGGCTATCTCGGCCATTCTGGCACAAAAGGGAAACGATGGGAGGGAGCATGTCATCGAGTACGCTTCCTGGGCGGTGCCAGACGAACATTTTGCTATTTTTGCGAGGCAATTTCTCGAGTCTATTCCGTCCACATGTGTCCTAAAGGGAGGGGATATGTTGAATGGGTAGACTGTCGGAAATGTGTCGCACGTTCTCATGGTGCGTGCATACAGTATCGGAGTAGTAATAGACTCTGGTTCTGTCCCTTATGTCTCACTGACAAGATTCCGACGGAAGCCCGATTCCTCGATGCCACGTCGGAAGGCCCCAACAAAATTTAGAAATTTAGAAGAGCGGAAGTCTGGACAGATGTTGCCTTGATAGCCACTGTGGTAGGGAACTCTCTCGAAACATTCTCCAAGGAGGATCGAAGGAGGGCCAATGAAAGAGCACGAGATTACCGATGGGTGGACGGACGGTTAGAAAAGCGTAAAACAGACGGCAGTGGGGCATGGTTAGTAGTTCCGCACCCGTTTATGCAGTACGACTGGGTACGGACAGCCCACGAGGAGACGGCGGCGCATTTTGCCGTGCGTATTACCGAAGCTGCGATTGACAGAAATCAATGGTACTGGTCCAATATCCGGGACGACGTTAAATTCATCGTCCAACACTGCCAGGTTTGCGCTGCTGACAAGGCCCCAACCCAACCGCCTAGGTCGATAGTCCCAACGGTGGTTGAACGGCCGTTTCAGAGGGTTAGTATGGATACTACTGATATAGTGGTGCCCCCCGGACCGAATAGTTGCGACTGTTCAATTCTGCTGGTTTTCGTCGACCACTTTTCTAAGTGGATCGAGGCTTACCCCTGCAAGACACGACAAGCCGCGAAATCGCGCGGTACGTCAACCGTTTTCTAGGCATGCACCAGGACACCGAAGAGATCCTGACCGACAATGGGGTCGAATTTAGAGGAGAAGTCGAGAGGAACCTGGTCATACACGGCGTCTCCATACGGCAGACGGCCCCGCACATGTCCCAGTCTAACGGATTAGTGGAAAACACGAATAGGGTGATAAAAACGGCCTTGGGGCGGAATATTGCGGCACGTGACCCCCGACCCTGGCCTGATATTGTCGACCACATCTTGGCGGTCCATCATGGAATGCCCCACGAATCGACGGGTCTAAGCCCCTTCCAATTGCGGACCAATAGTGTCGCGTGTGTGTCGATACCGAGCCTCCCCGACGAATCAGGACTGAACCGACGCCCCACAAGGGCCACCGCTCGGGACAAAGCCAAAAGGCACCTGGAACTTATGGAGCGGTCCCTACCTAGACTGGCCCGGAAGCGACAACGGTCCACCGAATTAGCCCATAGCCGACAGGTCCGGAGTTACGAGGCCCGGAACGGGAATGCGGGTCCCAGGACCCAATATAAGTTAGGGGACATCGTGTAGGTAAGGAAATGTGCGTGCCAGGGTAAACTAGTGCCACGATTCTTCAGACAGTATCGAGTGATTGAACTCGGACCCAACGGCGTGGACACCGTGCGCCTCGCTCCCGAGGTTTCCGGCAGTCGATCGGCTCGCCCGATCACACGCCATGTGTCCTATCTCCGTCTTCTTCCCTCTGTTTCGTCTCCTTCTCCATCAACCTCTTCCGACGACGACTCTATCTCCTCTACATCTCCTTCTCCTTCTCAATCTCTGTCGGATACGTCGTCACCCTCGTCGTCGCCATGAGCTTTATGGAGGAGAGAGCTCTAAGTGAAGAAGCGCTGGTAGCACGTGGGAATTTCACACTACGACAGGTACATCATCCTCGTCTTAGTCCGGACCTTCAGCGGCTTGTGCAATTCTTCTGCTCGAAGGGCGTCTACGCGGCAGCAGATATCCACGTCGATGGGAGGGCTGACGCGATCATATTGGCCGAAGCTGTCGGGTTGCGACAGCGAGCATCTGCGGGCGTCGGCCGGATAACGGTGGTAGTTAATTTCAGTGGAGATCTCACGGCGATCCCCCCCTGCCGACACACGAGAATCAAGGTGGCGTTGCTTTTGTGGGTGCACAATCTTCAGAACGAGTGGACCCAGCTCCTGGCGCACCAAGGGGACGTGATCACACCAATCCGAGCGATCGAATACAACGGCCTTCGGTTGGATCGGCGTGACCCGCCGACACAATTACCCCCTCTCATCCCCTTCCATCCCCGATGAGCTCCTTCCCGATCTCAACTTTCGAGTTTCCTTCTTCCTTCCCCACCTTTTGACAATCTGATCTTCATCCCCGCCTCTCCTTCTGCATTAATCCTCTGGTTGTTCCCCTCCTCGATCCCTCTCAGAGGGACACGTGGCGCAAAGACTTCATCGAACTCTCACTGTGTTTGGTGGAAGTACGGGTGGCGTGGACGAGGGACGAGATAAATTATCCGCGGTCTGAGCGATTGGAGCTCCTTTTGATTTAGGCGTGGCGGACGGAAGTTACTGTAGAGGGGAACCTTCTCGGTTTTCTATTCGGGTCAGTGCGTCCAGGCTGTCGGAGGCTTCTCACCCAGGAGCTTACGGTCCCGATTGCGCAGCTGGCTGACGATCTTGACGTCAGCATTGTCTCCCAGGTCGACCCGCGCTTGGTGCCCCACGTCGCCTCGCGCACTCTGTCGCCGTATCTTCTGTGGTCAGCTTGCGTGGAGGGCTTCCCATCGAGAATTCTGCCTTTACGGTTGGATTATTTGGATCCACCTGACATCGTGGATCCCGCTTTCTACAGACCGCCGTACGAGGACGAATTGGAGGAGATAATCCACGAGGAGCTCGCGGAAGAAAGTTCGGAGGAAGAGGAGGAGAATCCGAGCGAAGACGAAGGGGAGCCAACACAACAGCGAGAAGGAGAAGAAGACGAACTCCTACAAACGGAGAACGAAGAGGAAGCAGAAGAAGAAGACAGCGAGCAAGGGAGCGGTGACGACAACGACGAGGAGCATGCCGACGAGGATCCCCAGCTAGAAATTGCGCCGGGATCAGCAACGATCCAACGCTCGACCCGGAACCACCTCAGCCAGACGACGGCGATGTGGCCCAGATGGCTGGGCCGTCCGTTCGCCGGCCTCCTTCCCCACTGCGACACCGACGACGAAGCCGCTCCCCCTCCGCCTCCCTCTCCCTCGCGGCCCGTCCCGCACTTCGAGCACGTCGAGATGAGGCCGATCGGTCTTCGTCCTCGGGCTCTCTCTCTCCGACCCCATGACTTCCTCACCCTACGCCAGCTCACCTGTTCCGCCGTCTTCCCCCACAATCTCTTCCCCTGTGACACTTTCCGTCATTACTTCTCCATCCGTCTCTCTGTCACAGTCCATCCCCACTCATCCTCCCGGCGTGCTTCCCCTGAGTTCCCTCTCCATGTACTTCTTTTTAGCATAGGATGGCGTCGTATGAACGCCGTAGAGGTTTATTGCCTCATCACGGGGTTAATCCCTGCATGCGCCGACCACGATCGCTTTCGCGCGGCGCTTCTTAGAACCTTCACCACTCTCTATCCCGACTACCTCGCTTCTCTCCCCACTACTGGCCGTCGATTTCCCCACTTCCATAGAATCGTCCATCATCGGAGCCTTCCGGAAACGGACGATGAGCTGGAACGTTTCTTCCCGCCTATCCCAACTCATCCCCCATCAACACCTCCGCCTGCCTATCGTCTTCCTTTTCCTCTTCCCCACGAGTGACGACAACCACGATATGACTGCCGCGCAGCATGACTTCCACACTCGTTCGCACGGTATGCGGCAGAAAAGAAGATCAATCATCCACGGCCAATCAATCGCAGATGATCGACACGTCAGCTAGCAAGCAGGAGCTTGCTTATCTTTGGAACCCCCTGGGCGTCACATATGTGACGAACTAGTTTCTGTAATGCACGACTTTCTGCGCAAAGTGCTAAGCGGGATCCCACGTCGATAGGACAGGTTGATGGAAAATTGCATGTGTGTCCTTGCTTTCTTCGTTGTTTCTTCGTTCGCGCACGAGCCCCTGATGACAGTTGGGGACAATTCAGGAATGCACAGGGAAAAGGGGGTGAAACTTGGTCGGATGGATGCGGAGTGCGCGCCAAGTGCGCGATTAATAAACGTTGACGTCGCTTCTTTTCTTTCGTTTCCCTTCTTTTAATTTTGTTTTGTCGGACTTTTGGGCGCGCAGACATCGCGCGGGAATTTCGGTGTCTCTTTTTGAATTTCCTTCTTGAATTTTCTTTTCGAATCTTGGTCGGAGCCATACGGCCTTCAAAATTTTGATTTTCTTTTTCGGACCTTTTCATAATATCGGCAGGCTAGCTAGGAATTTTGGAATTTTGGAATTCCTGTTTTTTTGGGGCGCTGATTAGCGTGTTCGCGCGCTCTTTCTTGATGTTGCGTCAGGACCTTGATTGATTGGCGCCTTAATCCTTTTGTAACTGTAATTTTGGGCGCACACTTTTGTAATTGTATCTTTTTGTTTCTTGCTTCTTATTATTCCCGCCTCGTTTCTTCCTCTCTCCCCTCCCTAGTTGRGTAGCCGCGTTTGCATGTTCGGATCGATGCGTGGAGTTGGGTACGTCCCCCACGCCGCGGCCCGACTGTGCAAACGTAAGCACTCCCTTTCTCCCATCTATCTACGTCCTTGTAATTTCGTGTTCTTCGCGCATGCGTGCACGCTATAAATTTCGGCTGCGCGATTAACTTTCTCTCTTAACAGTTGCTGGAAGCTCGGGGTTGCGCGATCGAGAGGGTCGGCACACGAGCGAAGTAAGAGGTGAGTGAAGTGGGAGTCGGGCGACCCGA